AACCGCGTGAACGTCCTTTAAACCTTCGTAGACAGTCGAACCCAGGCCCCTGAGCACCGCCGGTAAATTGCGATATCTGTGGGTATGGATACAATGATACCACATAAATAGTCAACCAGGAATTTCCAATAAAGGCAAGACAGACCATTCCTCTCGTCAAGGCATCGCCGCTACTATCCTCCAGCCCATCTATGTGCTCCCAGGAAACTGTCATGGCATCTATCTCCCCCATTCTGTACCATTGCATTTGAGCAATTTAGCTCAATCAACAATCCAGGTCCCTCAACACATTGAAGCGTCGATGCGTTCCCTGGGGTTCAATCTGTGTAAAAATCTCATTCTCACCGCTCCAAACATGCCATCAACTATCGTTCCATCTGCCAAATGGAGGCTCGGTGGGAGTTTAAGAATATGCGTAGATCTCGGATAGAGCTGTGCTACGAAGTTCGAACTTGGGGCTTGTCGCGCTTCCCATGTTGAGGGGGTTAGGGGAGAGGATGAAGTTCCGCTAGTCATGGATGGAGGAGTTGATTACTCAATATTAATTACTTAGAACGGGTGATACGTATACTCTCTCTAAGAAATAATAGTAACTGATTCCACTAGCTGCTGGAACTGGCTTCAGGGCTATACTCACACTAAAGTTGTAAAGTCGATGGAAATAAACAATTGAAGGCGTCATCCATATCGAGAATGGTCAACTACAGGACATGATCATGAACGGATATGATAACCCTTAGGGCTGAGTTTCTAATTTTCAAGATAGGAGGTTGAGCAATTGGCATTGACGACGATGCAATGATGTGCTGTTTCGACGAGTGCAGCAATACCCAATTTCACCATCTCATGGGCGGTCTGTTCACTCCTGAGGCCTGAGGGCTAAACCTTATCTCACGGCCCCATCTGCATACTGGACGTTGTATCTGTATATGCCATATCAATCAAAGTTTTCAATGCTGAGACCATGGCATTTCTTCAGTGTTCCCATTGAAAGACCCCTGAGCCACAACTCAGGCCGAGCCTGAGAAGTAAGTAGTGATATAGTTACTGCAGAACTTCTATCAACTAACAGTCGATGTAATAGTACGTATTCTATGCACTCTCAGTTACGAATCTAAGAATAACTTTTACACTCATTTTGAAAACAGAGGAATCATGTTGGAACTTGAAATACGAAGATTCGGACAGATGCTGAGATGCGATCTGGGCACGTAAGAAGTAGTATTCAAATGGATAACATGTAAAACCGTGCATGGATATACCGTTCGTAACCTTTCAGCACATGGAAGTCCCTGTAAAACAAAAGAATCGCCATCTAGAAAGGTCATTTGTGCTGTGCGGTGGCGATTTAGGGAAGGGGGCGGGGATGACCCCAAAAGCATGATCCCTACCCGATTTGAACGGATGACTTTGTGGATGCACCAGGACTGGAATCACACACTCTACCACTGAGCTAAGGGATCATGGCCTTTGGTAGTGTGCGTATCTTGAACTATCGAGATGCAGTGATGGAACACGCTCTACCACGCTTTGAGGAATATGACATATGTAGTCGAAGAGATGCGAGCGTCGGGATTGACAAACTATGGAAGTCTTTAGTGGCGATGACCATCAGAGGCAAATAAGGGTGTACTTCACGGACTCACGAACAGTGGCTGTAGATTACTACTTTCGTGTTCTTTGACGAGTGTCTCGTGCTTACCTACGGATAGGCAGGTGAAGGCGTAAAGAGGGAAGGGAGGAATGAAGGTGCTTACGCTTTTTGAGTAGGAATTGCTCAGCGAAGGACTCTTTGATCTGTGGCGATGGGAAAATGCCTTCCTTTAGCCCATCCTTGGGTCCTTGACATTGGTGATGCCAGAAAGCCAAATGAGACAAAAGCTGATCCCTACCCGATTTGAACGGATGACTTTGTGGAACCTCCATGCTGGAATCACACACTCTACCACTGAGCTAAGGGATCATGGCTTCTCGCGAGTACCCAGGAAACATATGAGAAAAGGAGCCTAGGCTCGAGACTTGTGGCGTGAATTCGGCGAGAGTACTTACAGTGGCGTAACGGTTGGGTCACCTTATGTACTGGAGACGTGCGGAATGTCTCCTCGCGGTTACCTAGAGCCTATAGCGGTGCTCGCGTGGAGATGCCGTGGTGGTAGCGTGTTGTTCTACCTACGCACATGTAACAAGGCCTACCTATGTAACGGATCACGTGACCGCGTCTGGAGCAGTGCGCTGCCTCCAATACAAGGGCCAAGGCCTGGACATGTGGATATGCAATTCAAGGAAGCCGATGTAAGAAACAAGAGAAAGAGATGATGGCAAAATCAAGGAGATTAGATTCAGCCAAGAGATCCGGTTAAACTTGCCCCAAGCACGACCACATCTGGCACCCTAAGAAAACATTGGGACACCTTCTACGCACTTGTCACTAGGGGACCCTCATTTCACAAACCATCCTAAAACCTGGAAAATTTTTGAAGGGGAAAATCAAGTTGTAAGATTCATAGTGTGTACCATGGCCGCACATACAGAGCTCGCCAAAAAATGACAAAAAATAACTCTGCTCTCAGTACAAGTTGATTCCGCGATTTCGGTAGATCATCTGAGCCAGACGGTTATACTGGCCATTCGTGAACTCAATCCTGCAGTTATCATCGGTGTAGTCCATCATGTTGTCTGTGTGTGCGTACACTGTCTTAGAAGCACTTATGTTGAAACTTGGTAAGCACATACGGATAGGGTCATCTCCCGGAGCAGCCGGACACGAGTCTCTCCGTTGGCAGAAGGTCGCAGCTTCAGCTTCAGCAGGAGTATCGTCGACGTCGTCACCTCCATCGCAACCACCTTGAAAAGGATGTAAGAGTCCAGTCCAGTGACCAATTTCATGCACCAAAATCTGCATTAAAGGCGTCGGTTATTCCATTGTAAAAGCGATCTGTGGTGTACTGTGCACTCACCTTGCCCGTGTTGTAGCCAGCCCTATTGCTGCCAGGGAGATATGTATAATCGTAAATAATGCCGTCGGCCACCGAGTTCCCCTGATAATTCCAGGGAAAGCTAGACCATCCCGCGTATCCAGATGGTCCCGTACTAATCAGAGATCAGTCCATTTAATGTGGTGCAAATACGTAAATGTTACTGACCCAACTGTATAGATGTTGAGGATCTGAGGGCTATTACCCTTGCGGTAAGCCTGCTTTATCGGGAAATCATTATTCATAGTGACGCCATGCAGGGTGTTATAAGAGACAGCATAACGGTAGACGCCAGCGACTTGGAAATATAGGGAGATATTGTTGTAGAATATATTGACGACTCTCATAGTCTCAGCAATCGAAGCATCACTGTCGAGCATCATTGAGCAATGCCCGAAGTGAGCAGTGAAGGGTGCATACGGGATATTGCCATCGCGTGGGTTGTTCTGATCGTACAACACGTTCCAGTAAACCTGTCGGAATAGATGATCAGGGGTATTGTTCTGTCAACATTACCTCAACAATAGGAAGCTCGAACTTACAGCGACTGTGAAGGCGGCTTGATGGTCCTGCCTCAAAGTACCGTTGACTTTGTTGGTATCGGTGACGAAATGCTTCTGTGCGGCTGTGACTTCCTCCTGAGTTGGGTTGGTTCCACAGAATCTGGGGCGGCCACGGTTAATTTATACAAATGTGTAGTTCATTTGAAGAAAAACGCACCCTGCCACAAGTGGCGAGGTAAAGACGAATATAGCTAGCAGAAGGTTGATTGGAAAAGATGCCCACATTGTACGGTTCAAATCGGGTAAAAGGTGCTTTCAGAGTCGATAGCAATCCTGGGCCTTTATATATGATGGGTGAAGGTAAATGTAAATAGCGCACGGGATAAGGATGTTGTGCATATAGAGTGGATGTGAAGCGTGGAGTCACGGTCTCCCCGTTGAAGAGAAGCGAATTTGAAAGGTGTTAAATTAACCTGAGATGGGTAACCATGGGTTTGAAACTAGTCAACGAGAAGGGCTGCGCCGCCTTCTGATAAGAGGGGGATCGAGAAAGGATTCAATCGACTGAGAAAAAAGTTAATCGAATCCACTGGGACCACTCTAAGCGTTGATAATTGCACATATGGAGAGCCAGTTGTTCACAATTTGCCTCGTCACGCGGACATTCTCTTCTGCCTGCTTCGGGGCCTCCTGAGCAGATATACACGGGCGGCAGAAGTGCAGTGTGACCACGTAATATCCCTGATTGCATCCACATCGTATCCCAAGCGTTCTCCGTTTTGATGACGAGGCCCACCAGCGACGTGATATTATTGTTGACGATGTTCGTGATCGTCGCGTGCGCCTGGAATGAGAACACTGACCATGGGGTGAAGGAGAAAATGATGATGTCTCGGAGAGCAACTAGTAGCGGCTATCGCCCATCGTAGTGGTCACCAGTCTGGTTCGGCCATTCATCATATGCGCTGAGATACTGTGGCTGGACGCGATGGATGAAGAAGCTGAATAATAAAGAGGAGGAGGGTGGCGAGAACAATCAGGATGGAAGCAACTGTGGCCTGTGGCCTGCCATTCTGATGTGAAAGTGGATGTACCTTCCTGTCAGTTTATCAGCATCCTGGACAAGGATTTGAGGGAGAGTCAAGCTCCCATCCGCATCGACATGTCACACGTTCCTTTTTGCGTTTCGCCGAACTGTTGGGGTTAACGACTTATTGCATTGGGAATGAAATATTGGATAACACGACGTTTAGGAAGTGATTTCGGATGGAATGAGTCCCGTATTGGGTAGTGAGCGAAAGGCGGAGCGCCGGCCGCGATTCTCGCAAGATTTTTGAGCTGCATTTTTCGCATAGTTCTGTCACAGTTCATATGACTGAGGAGATTAGGGTGGAAACACGAGGTGCAACTTGACCGAATACAGATTCGGATGGGATTGTTTCAGATGTTCGCGTCAGCTACGTTAATTGTCCAGCACAAGAAAAGCTGAGGGGGTAAAACAAGGGCTGGGTCTTGAATATGATGATGAGAGGGAGATTCGAACTCCCGCCCCCGAAGAGACCAGATGAGAAGATGTACGTCGAGATCACCTTAGTCTGGCGCCTTAGACCGCTCGGCCATCTCACCATATGCCCGTAGATGGGAAGAAAGTTGTGGTCAACTCTGAAATATCCAAATTTTGAAATAGTTGACCCGGATAGAAGATACCGAGGCTCTTGGAAGGATGAAATAGGAGCAAAAAGGAGGGGAGAGAGGAATCCATCAAGGGCTGGCGCTGACTTGCGATCAGACCATCAAGGCCTCAGGTTGATGGTTTGGTTGATGCATCGCAGAATTCTGTTTCAGTCAACAAAAATACCTATCTTCATCACGATTCCTTTATGAATCAATGATGTGCATACCTTTTACCGACAGCACCGCACGCTTTGAATCTTGACGTTCATACTTTTCTTCCTGCCACCATCCCCAACTCCCATCTTGCCCCAATCACAGCAACTCGAAAATGCCTGCACCGTTTGCCGTACTTGGTATGTTCATTTGCCACCCTTCAGGTCTTGTTGGCTAAGTGTGATGTGGACAGAGCGCGCTCCTGGCAATTGGAATGACATCTTTGACCGGCAGGCGATGTAAGTGCTGTGGGCGGTTGGGTGAGCACAGTTGACCGAAACATGAACAGAGAGATGTCGATTTCGCACAATATGTTCATACGCGGGCTCAATGCCGTCTATGTGCAGGCGCCGAAGATCAAGGAGGCCCAGGTTAAGGCGTTTGCTTTCTTCTGCAATTCACTCGTACGTATTAGTCCACAGTCTGACTCGCCTTTGGTGCTTAACTGACCTATTTTCTTGTTCTAGGTAGCATTGATTCATCACCATCACACCATCGAGGAGGAACTCATCTTCCCATTCTTCGAGACGAAGCTGGGGGCGGGAACGATGGAGGGAAACATCGAGCAGCACCACACGTTCCAGACGGGCCTTGAAGACCTCGAGGCGTATATCAAGGATGTGCTTGCGGGCACGAAGAAGTATGATGGGAAATTGGTGGTAACAAAGCTCGATGGTTTTGCAGACGCCCTTGTCCAACATTTACACGAGGTGAGTTGTACTGCACTCCTTCAGCTCAGGTTCGTTGAGATGGTTGATGACGCGTTCATAATGTGATATAGGAAATACCAACAATTGAGTCGAGCAAGATGCGCGCTGCCTTCACGGAGCAGGATTTGAAGGATCTTGACGCGGCGCTCGGGAAGAGAATCCTCAAGGAGGTGTCACTCACCACTGTGCTCCCACTCGGGCTCACTCTCCACGATAAATCAACCGCACCAGAGTGAGTATCTTCTCCGCCCCAACGTGCAATGCCTGTTCTGATAAGGATGTGTGTTCTTCCAGGTTCCCGCCCTTGCCCAAGCCGATCCTTTGGTTGGCACAGTACGGCCTCTGGTACCTTCATAGCGATGCATGGGCGTTTGGTCCATGTGATGCATATGGGAAGTTGAAGCCTGGTTTTGGGAATGACGCTTAGCGGCGTGATATTATGCATCAGTCGGTCGAGTCGTCTTAATCAACTGGTTTTCATAAGCAGGTCGTGGTGACTTTGCTCAAGGTGAATTGTGGAGGCTGGACAGGGGTTGATTGAAGGATTTGGGGTGAATCAGAGCTTCAGGCGACCGCCGATTTGATTCTGAAGTCACACGAGAACTGCACAACGCAAAATTATGTTCATGACGAAAGCATTAATCATCATCCTCACAATACCCTTATATATGACTCAATGCTTTCACCGATCGCACGTTTTGGACCTTTGTTCAGGCATCTATCCCTCTTTGCCCCCATCCCCAATTTCCCCCCATATAACTGTAACACGATGCCTACATCATATACACCGCTTGGATATGTTTTGGCCTTCTGTGTCTTGACTCTAGATGTTGTATCTCGATGGCTGAGCGGGGGTGACATCTCTCACAGTATCACCTGATGTTACCATGGAAGATAACTGTTGCCAAATGGAAAAAACCAGCGCATGGCTGCTGGAGATCTTCGCAAGAGATAAGAGTCCATGGACGGCCACCGTTTTCATCGAAAGGTTTGATGCATGATCGAGGATCCCAGTTTTCAAAAGCAGAAGATTGAAGGACGCTAGAATACCCCTCCTCCCAACTAGGCCCACACACAAAACCTGTACATGGCACGCCGCTCAATATTCTGCAACGGCCCACTATCCCTCGATATCGACAACACGACTCATTCACCAACATTCCAAGCACCATGAACACGATGCTCCTGCCATAGCAGGCTGTTTTGAAACGTGGTGCTAGGTTCTGATGGCAGGCTTCGACCCCCCAGCATAGCTCGACGCATCTACCACCGATCGCCCAGCTAGCATACACGCTACTGATCGCTATTGAGGCCTCTGGATAGGCTCGGATCCGGATGCGCTAATACGGCACCAGGATGGGCACCACGAGGAATGGGAATGAATTTGATTCGTTTAAAATGCACGGCGCAGATGAGCAGCAGGTTCGTTCATACTCCTCCATCTCCCCGCCGTTCTCTCGCATTGAATCCCAGGTACCAACCGTAACATGTGCTTTGAGAAAAGGCCGCCAGGGAAATCAAGAACCACGGCCAGTCTGGCGCAGCA